AAAAGATCTGACAAAGAATACAGATAAAGAGATACATAGGGTTGAAAAACTGCAGAACATCCATGCTTCCTGCTGGCTTTCATGCCGTTTTCCCCACTCCATGCGTTCAGCTGTCTAGAAACACTCCAAGCCTTGTCCTTTGGGTTTTTATGGAGATTTCATTGGTCATGGTTGAAGCAAGGGCAACCACACAGAGATGTGATTAGCCAAAGAGGGCACGATCTAATGTTAACAGATGGGAAATTCAGCAAGACCTGCCTCTATGGATTCTTTTTTTTTTCCCTATGGATTCTTGTTGGCCTCTATGTTCAGCGTGTCCTTCCTCCCAGGTATGAGGCAGGGTCCCTTCTAAAATAGAAGCCCTATATTCTACTGTTAGACCAGGTAGTTCAGAGAATTCCTTTCTTCACTGGTCTAAGATACAGATGGGGCAACATTACAGTATGCTGTTTGTTTCTATAACCTACCTTGAAGGAGAGAAATTATCTTCTGTAGGCTGCCTTGGAGAGAAAAGGCAAAGAGGGCAGGAAAGGGTCAGAGAGACTTTTGCCTTTTGAGACCTACAGCTCCCTAACATTATTAGAGAAGATTGTCTTTCAGTTTTATTACTATAAAGCTATACTGAAGTAATAAGGCTGAATATTAACTGAAAATAGCGAAAAAAAAACTGAAAAAAACTGTCACCACATAGTCCAGTGGCTAACCCACTGGAAATACTAAATAACTGGTTTATTATTGTTATAAGTAAGGAGACATAGTCTCATTAAAATTTAAGTGTTTTCCAATATAAAAGAATCTTTTTTTAAAAAAAAATCTCCTTAAACCTGATAATCTATATTTTTAAAATTTATCCCACTTATTCTTTGTACTATATAATTCTTTTTTATTAATATTTATTTATTTATTTGATACAGGGTCTCTCTATGCAGTTGAGATTCATAGGGATCGTCCTGTCTCAGCCTCCCCAGCCCTGGGATTACAGGTGTGTGCTACCACACCTGGTTTCGGCACAGGCACAGTGTGCCTGGGGTTCTGGAGCCAGCACAGCATGCAGTAATGGGATTAAACTTGAACCCTTGTGTTTGCCAGGCAGGCACTTAGACTGCTGAGCTATCTCCCCAGCCCAATGCCATATAATTATTTTATAAAGGAATAGCGACAAGACCTCTAGTTCGGGATGTTAAAATACACATATATCTTCCTTCCTCAAAATTCCATTAACATGAAAGAAAAATATGGAAATATAAATTCATTATAACAATGAGAATAGAAAAGCATTCCATCGTACCTCAGACATTTTTGGACTTTTCTGAAGTGAGCAAATGAGACCAGAGTAAAGGAGATGCCTAGGTACAGGAAGGACATCCTCCTCCATGGTCACAAAGGAACAAGGCATGGTGGTACACCCTTATAATCCCAGCACTCTGGAGGCTGAGGCCAGTAGGATTACCATGAGTTCAGAGTCAACCTGGGCTATGTAGTGAGTTCTGGGCCAGCCTAAATTACATAGCAAGACCCTGTCTCAAAATGTCACAGGGGATACCAGCTACCATGATGAAAACTGCTTACTAATGAAGCTCAGATGAACAAACCAGGGTGTAATAAGCATGGTAATCAAAGTTTACAGTAAGTGCCCAATTTACAAAGAGTTCCATTCCTTTGTATCCTCTTATTTGTACCTTTTGGAATGGAAACGTCTATCTTGTGCCATTGAATGTTGGAAGCGTTAAACTTCCTTTTCTTTCTCACAGATTAGCGTTTGCCTTAAATCTCAAAGGAGACTTTTGATTTTGACTTTCCAGAAATGCTGAAACTGTTTGGACTTTGACAGCGCTTAGAGATAGACTGTATGCCTTTTGTATAGAGGGATGTGCTTGAGTCTTTAGGAGGCCAGGAGCAGGATATTATGGCTTCTGTCTAGTTGTCACCCTAAGGCCTCATGCATTTATAGGTGGGGCTTTTTCAGAGGTAGCTGACTCTAAAGTGTATGATTGATTCATAGTGCAATGCTAGGATTAAGGGGCTAGGATTAAAAGGTGGATGATGACTAACTCAGTCCATTGATTGATTTGCCCCTACCCTAATCCCAGTAACCTAGATACAATATAAGGGACAGAAAGAGGCTTGTCCCTTGCTTGTTTTGCTACCTTCTGCCTGCCATGCATGAACTCTTTCTCCTTTGCAATGCCTGTGTGCCACACCATCCTACCTTGAAGCCAACTGATTATGGACTGAGACCTCTATAAACTGTGAGCTAAATAAACCTATTCCCCTTTAACTTTGGGGGCCAGGTATTTTGTCTCAGCAAGGAGAGAAGAGTAATGACAGATTCTAAGTGCAGGCATTGACACGAAGAGGAGTCCTGCAGAGGTCAAAGTAACTTCAAAATCCTACAACCAAACCAGAATTTTTTTCTTTAAAAAAAAGACTCATTCTGTCTAAAATATACTGAATAGGGGCCAGAGTTCAATCCCCAGGCCTGCCGTGCCAGGCCTGCCCCTAGATCACACTGAGATGGCAATTGAGACTGGGTGTGGTGGCGCGTGCCTATGACCCCAGCACTTGGGAGGCTGTAAACAGAATGATCACTACCAGTCTGATCTAGTAGTGAGACCCTGCACGCCCTGTAGACCCTTCCCTAAAATACAGAAAAAAATAAAAATAAAATATACTGAATCACCCACTAGCCAAAGTAAACTCTTTCTTCCTGTGACTATCACGTTCTCTTCTTGTTCCCCATATGTGTACTCCAAGAGTAGCCTGCTTAGAGATACACTCTTTTGCAGTTAGTTCCACCACCTAAGGGAGAGAATTACTATGGAAACAGATTTTTACAACTGCTGTGTTTATCAACCTAGTCTTCATTAGTAAATATGAATGACCAATCATTTTTATAAATGTGTAAGAACTTGATAAAAATGTAGGCCCATCCTAACTTAGAAATGTTTTTAGATAGCTGAGTTGGGAGACTTCAGTTAGCTTGATAGAGTATTAAAAATCTTTATTAAATACTATACTTGAGGGTGAAACATTATAATCATTCCATTTAACCTCAAGTGAGGAAGCTTGCTAGCACCTGTGCCATTCAACAATCTTCTGGATTTTATAACAATGCCAGAAGACAAAAGCAATGAGAGAGATTCCTTTAGCACAAAAGATTTAATTTAGGCTGGCCAAATACCTCAGCAGACTAAAGCTCCTGCTTAGGCAGAGTGCATTGGCCAGGGCTCGATCCCCTGATGTTGTGCTGGCCCCACCCCAGGGGCACACTGTGATGGTAGTTGAGACTGGGCCTGGAGGTGCGCACCTGTAATCCCAGCGCTTGGGAGACTGAAGACAGGAGAATCTGAGTCCAGTCTACATAGTGAGACCTTGTAGACCCTGTACCAAATATATTTTTAAAAAAAGATTTAATTTAAAAATTGCGGAAGTATTCACAGAGGTGAGATTATGTGGTACCGCTGAAAACTTGAACCAGTAAAATGGCAAGAAAGAAAATAAGCACTTTGAGAAGAGATTTCTTATATTTGGCAGCAGCCAATTAGAAATATGACAAATAAAGCAATTCACCATAATGTAAACCTAAAGTATCTAGAAGCAAAACCAATATGAAATGAGTAATATCTGTATGAGTAGAATTGTAAGAGTCTCTGAGAGATATAGTGTGTTCGTGGAATCATCACTGTAATGATGAGTTCTAAAATTAGTCAGGGTAATCCAATTAAAAGATAAAAAAAGGAAAAGGAAATAATCAAGCCAGATACAGTGTGACTGATTAATCATAGGTCATTGGTCAGAATCAACCGAGATCAGGAGAAAGTGTTTGTTTTTTGAATCGGGTCTCTCTATTCAATTTAGGCTGCTCTCGAGCTCAGGGTGATCCTCCTGCCTCAGCCTCCCCAGTGCTGGGACTGTAGGAGTGTGCCCCCATGCCTGGCCAGGAGAAAGTCTTGAAAAGTAATTATGTGGGCTCACTGCCCAAACAGCAAAACACACCTGAACCCCTAAGTAGAAGTGTGTAGTGGGAGAAAGCCCAGACATAGGACTGTGTGTACATGTGAGGGAATATGGAAAGTAAGATTTCAGTGAGCAGTAAGAAAATATTAAATAAATGTGTTAGAATGATTAACTGGTCATTTGGGGAAATATCGGAATCCTATCCCCATTTAAAAAAAAAAAAAAGTCCTAAATGGATTGATTACATAGGTGCAAAATTTGAAAAGATACTAAAAAGATTTTTTGTTGTTATGTTGGAGTACAGAAAAGATACCCCATTCATAAAGGCTGAATTTTTTTTTTTTTTTTTTTTTGGCAGAACGGGGGATTGAACTCAGGCCCTTGTGCTTGCCACAGAAGTGCTTATTCCACTGAGCCATCTCCCCGGCCCAAGGATGAAAATATTTGACCACATTAAAAATATTAAAGTTTTATTGCACACGCTTACAAATAGAAAAAATTAAGTTATATTATCTAGGCAGTAGAATTGCCAGTGTTTATAAAATGATTTTTAATACAAAAATCTATTATTTAGCAGATTTTCTTATATATTCTTCCTATAACTAAAAAAATACTTAGTTTTTAGTGTTCTCAAAATGAAAATTAATATTGTATGTGTTTGAAACCTATTATGGAAAAGAAATAAAACATAATTCTGATTATGGACAGAGATTTTACAGGGACTTGGGCAGAGACTTATGAGCACAAGGATTAATAGTAAATGTATAGGAAAAGTCAGCAAGATTACCTTACTAATGGGTATATAGCTTGCTAGGGGTAAAAATTTTTTTCTAAAAGTTGCTGTCCAGCATGTTTACTCAAATTAATTTACCTTCGTGAAATTGGTGATGGTGTGTTGTTTTTTTTTCCTCCTGAAGTTGTGGTGTTAATTAATTGATCATCTGAGTGCTTAGGTAGTTGGTGTTTTTCCCTACCGTAGGAGTAGCTTTTTAAATAATTAACTTTAAGTGTGGAGGAAATTAAGCTTATAATTATGTCCTTAGGATCAAAGTTCTGATCGTACCAGTCTTTCTTCAGTGGGAGCCCAGGATTCTGAATCTACCTCTTTGACAGATGAAGATGGCTGCCGTGAGTTGGAAGGAGCCCTGTCCTCCCAAGAGAGCAGTGCCACTTCTGGGACCAAGGGGATCGAGCTCAGCCGGACTAGCCTGGACAGTTCCTCCTCCTTAGAAGGTTCGTCCGAGCAGTTCTGTCTTACTGCACTTGATTTGTAATATTAACTTCTTTATGATTTAATTTTGTTTCTCAGTTTTTTAAAAGATTTATATGACTCCAAAGAAAAATGAGATAAGCATTTACAAAGAAGTTTGGCTTCTGTGCCCACCCCCTCTTTCTATTTTCCTCCTGTCCCTAGAGGAAACGATTTTTACTAATTTTTATTTATCTTTTTTTTTAATGTAAGTATAAGTACTTTTATATATCCTTTTTACTTCCCTGACACCTTACTCTAGAGATAACATACTACACATTCCTTCCCACCCTTTTTTTTTCACTTAACAGTATACCCTGAAGAATTTTTATCACACCACAATTTCCCCCATTCATTTTTGTTGTTGCATAGTTCATCTTAACCACTTCCCTATTGATGGACATTAAGTTTCTGGTCTTTGAAATGCTATAGGACATATATGTCTTGTCATATTTTTACCAGTATTCTCTAAAAGATATTTCAAAATGTTTCCATGAGATAATATTGCTAAATTCCCTCCCGTAAAGATGCACTATTTTATATTCCAGCAGTACATGAGAATATCCACAAAATATTCTGGCAGGCTTTTTTTTTTTTTTTTGCCTTGTGTTAGTTTAGGAATGTACTGCAGTTTACTTTTCACTTATATTTCTCTTACAAAAATGAAATTGAGAGTCTGGTGTTTAACATGTTTTCCTATCCCATTTCTTGTGAACTGAGCATTTATACCCCTACTCTTTACACTGAAAAGGCTTTGTTTCATTATTTATTTTCTCTAAATTACCTTTGCAATATTTTAATAGAACAAGTTGACATTAGAAAAATGATGAAATTGAAAGAGGAATCTCATATCCTTTCTTACCCATTTTAATGGTTTTGCCATTTGTGTTTTAATAATGAACAGGTTCCCTCTCAAAGTTTGCCTTACCTGGGAAATCAGAAGTGCCATCTTCTCTGAACACGAGTAATACAAATATCTTCCAGAACTATGCAATGGAGGTACAATTTTACTCAAAAGAGCATTTTCTGTACTACTTTATAAAATTTACTCTTAAGTATTGATGGTGCCTGGTACAGTAATAAAAAAAAAAAAAAAAGGTAGTATCTGGAATGTCAACATGAACATCATCTGTGTATAAATTAAAATCTGGCTTTTAGACCACTGTGTTAAGTCTTATAGAGTTGTAGGGTATACTTCATGTTGTAGGGTATACTTCCTTTTCCTACTTTTGCTTGGCCCAGGCTTGCTGTGCTTTCCTATCTTTTTTTTTTTAAATATATATAGTGCAGGGTCTACAGGGTCTTACTACACAAATCAGACTTGTAGTGATTCTCCTGTTTCCAGCTTCCCAAGTTCTGGGACTACAGGCACGTGCCACCATACCCAGTCCCAATTGCTGTCTCAGCACACCCCCAGGGCAGGGCTGGCAGGGTAGGCTGGGGATTGAACCCCTGACCCCTGCATCTGCCTAAGGCGCTTTAATCCTCTGAGTTTATTTGGCCAGCCCTCCTAAACTTTGCTACCATTAATAAAATTCTGGCTTTGGGCTATCTCTTATTTCAGATTATTGAAGTCTTATTATTTTATTAGGACAATTACAGGCTTATTTTGCTATTTATCAACATATAAAGTGTTTTCATTTTGGCATTTGTATTCTCTTTGAGTATTTATTTCACATCATAAACACTAGCAATGTTGTTATGCAGACAAACTTTTTTCTTTTTTTTTTTTTTTTGGTGGAACCGGGGATTGAACTCATGCCCTTGCACTTGCCAGGCAAGCACTTATTCTACTGAGCTATCTCTCCAGCCCCCAAACATTTTTGATAAAGGTACAGAAAATAATTTCAGCATTACATTATGAACTTCATCTATTTTCCTATCAGTTTAATGTAGATCTGTGCTGTGAAAGCTTCTACATCTTTTCTTTTTTTTGTTTTATCTTTCCTTTCTTTCTTTTCTTTTTCTTTTTTGCAGTATCGGGGATTGAACTCAGAACCCTGCGCTTGCCAGGCAAGTGCTTATTCTACTGAACTATCTCCCTGGCCCCTACATCCCCATTTTATTAAATGAAAAGTCATACTTTTATAAATTTCCCTTATTTTTCTGAGAATTTGATTCCAGTTATTTTTGTGAATGTAGTCACAGTTTCACACTACTTACATAAATAAATTTGCATACGCATGGAAAATAAATGAGCACTGATGTTGCTTTCTTTATGTATTTGGAATAGGGTCTCACTGCGCAGCTTGGACTCGCAGTGATCCTCCTGTTTTCAGCCTCCCCAGCGCTGGGATTACAGGTGTGCACCACCATGCTTGATCTCGGTGGCCAGTCAGTGCACCCAGGATGGGGCCAGAACAGCATGTGGTGCTGGGAACCGAACCCCAGTCCCTGTGCTTGCCTAAGCAAGCACTTAGTCCACTGAGCTATCTCACCAAACCTGATGTTGCTGTTTATAGTTTCTATGGCTTGAGGAATTTCTATATTTTACTAATATAATGGCAGCATGCATAATTATCCATAGCAGTGCTTCTCAGCCTGTCGACAGTCACAGACTAGGCTCTTTTTTGGTTTAATTTCTAATCTGTTACTCCTGTAAAATATGTTATTTATGCATGCAGACATCACAGCAATGTCAGATTACTTTACAGACTTCTAAATCCTCTCAATTACTTTCTTATCACAAACCAATCATTTGTGGCTCAGAACCGGTCTGCTAACCACACTTTGAGTAACACTAGTATATAGTTAAAAATAGGTTTTTTGATGTATTAACAAATTTAATGCTTCAGCTTTTTTGTGAGTAGAACCACAGCAAATTTTATTGTACTGTAATAATAATAGAAAATATTCACTAAATGCCAGCTTTTCTTTCAAGCAAAAGATTTGGAATAGATTTGGCTGAAATAGTTGAAGATGAGTACAGCATACAGTGCACTGGATGTAGTCTGCTTTTTGTTTGTCATGTCTGAATCCCTCTGAGTTTTAATTTTCCAGTAGATTTTCCAACCAATTGAAGTGGTTTTTAACTCAAGATATGCCTTTGCCAGCTTGTATAGTGAAGTCTGCCTTCTCCCTTAGGTTCTCATTTCAAGTTGTTCTCGGTGTAGAACTTGCGATTGTCTTGTTCATGATGAGGAAATCATGGCTGGCTGGACAGCAGATGACTCCAACCTCAACACCACATGTCCATTCTGTGGCAATCTTTTTTTACCTTTTCTGAATATTGAAATAAGAGATTTAAGACGACCTGGAAGGTAATGGTGTATTTTTTTCCATTATGTTTAAAGGTCATGTCTCTTAGAATATTTCCTTCTCAGAAAACTTTGTTTCACATTCCAGATACTTTCTGAAGTCAAGCCCAACTACAGAATATATGCCCTTTGCATCCTTTTCAAGTCAGACAAAGCAGTCTTGCATTTCAACATCTGCCTCTGGGCTTGAAGCATCTGCTCTGTCTGTTCAAGGGAATTTTGATCTCAATAGGTAAGTTACTTTTTTTAAGACAGGGTCTTTTGTTGCTCAGGCAGGACTTGAATTCCTGAGCCCAAGGAGTCTTCTTGAGCAGCCTCCTGAGTACTAGGATCACAAGCATGTACTACACCCAGTGGGAATTATATTGTAGCGGTATTGTAACACATGTTTGATATGTTTACATATGTTTAGGTGTATGACCAAAAAACTAGCTGAAGGGCCAGCCAAATCGCTTAGCAGATTAAAGCGCCTGCTTAGGCAGAGGTAGCAGCCCCACCCCCAGGGCTTGCTGAGACAGCAGTTGAGACTGGGTGTGGTGGTGTAGGCCTGTAATCCCAGGTCTTGGGAGGCAGAACACAGGCGGATCACTACAAGTCTGATCTACATAGTGAGACCCTGTAGACTCTGTACTAAAATACAAAAAAAAAGCTGAGCATTTTATGGTTTAAGTGTTTATGAAAAGTAAATTTATAATCTTAAATTCTTATTTCTAATTAAACCAACATTAAAATTCTCCAGGGGGCTGGTGAGATGGCTCAGTGGTCTAAAGTACCTACTTGGAACAAGCTAAGCAAAACACAGGGACTGCGCTTCCGCTTCAATCCCCCAGCACCACATGCCAGCCAGCCCCGCCCCCTGGTGGGTTGAGCTGGCCACACACACACACACAAATAAATAAATAAATAAATAAGAAAACATTCTTTTAAAAAAAAATTCTCCAATAGCCTTAATTTTAAATATACATATTATTTATATGCTATGCTTTATGAATCTCCAGAGTTTAGCCAGGTGGGCTGGTGCCTGCCTGTGATCCCTTCACTTGGCAGGCCAGTCTGGACATATAGCAAGTCCCTGTCATAAGCAAAAAGAGTTTCACTACTCTATGCACATATGCACACATGCACGTATTTACTCATCATTTAAAGGTAAAAACTCTATAGCATCCTGGAAGTTTATAATGATCAACTCTTTCTTATCTCCATCTCTTCAGGGGTTAAGTCAATACTGACTTCTACTTTGTAATATTCAATTTTCTATATAGAAATAGTGTATGAAAACATTCTTCCAAATCAAGCTAAACTTATATAGTAAGCCTAATATAAGTGATCTGTGGTTAAATTAGGAAGTGTCAGCAGCACCTGTGGTATACCTGGGCGGGTACACAAATATTGGTAGCTGCATGTGCGAAACAATCCTGTGTAGCATTGGCAGGCTAACAAGAGCTATTCGTAAAACCAAAAACCTATGTGTGTGCACCCTCTTTCATCATAGGCCTATTGTGACTCCCTGAGGGATTATATGTCCATTTTCTGTACTCTGTATCCCCAGGGGCCAGTGTAGTTCCTGCTGTATAAAAGCTGTCACTAAGTGTTTTGGATGGATGGATGAATACAGAGTAAAGTTCACTCAATGAAAAAGAAATTTAACGTGACTACTCTGTTGTCTAAAAATATATCCTATTTCCCAGCTAAAGCCTGAGAAACACATTTTTTTTATTTCCTATGTCCTGTTTCTAAAGAGAATAATATGGTTCTTCCATATGCAGCAAAGACACTAATAAGCTTTTTTCTTTTTTCAACGCTCAAGCAAATCTAAACTACAAGAAAATTCTTGTAACCGAAGTATTCAGATTCCTGCTAATAGATCAAAAACAGCTATGTCAAAATGTCCATTATTTCCAATGGCCAGGAGTATTAGTACTTACGGCCCCTTGGAAAAAGAAGATACTGGAGGACAGAAGCTCATTCCTACAGGCAGCCTGCCAGCTAGTTTACAAGGAGCGACTGTAAGTATTTTGGTGTTTTTTATAATTTACAAATCAATCATTTAAATATGACTTCATTCCCTGTGTCTTAACCTTATTACCTTTAATTTTATTGTTGTTACAAAGAGTCTTTATCCCATGATATAATTATGTTACCTTATTCTACTTAAATGGAGATTGTTGACAGAAAAGTTGTTATGAATAGTTTAGTACCATTATTCTTGTATGTTATTTATGGTTTTTATTTATTCAATAGGATTCTTTGGGATTAGAATGGCACCTTCCAAGTCCAGATCCTGTCACTGTCCCATATCTTAGTCCATTAGTGGTATGGAAGGAACTTGAGAGCTTATTGGAAAACGAAGGTGATCATGCAATAATGGTGGCAGACTTTGTAGATCATCATCCAATTGTTTTTTGGAACCTGGTGTGGTATTTCAGACGTCTTGATTTGCCCAGTAACCTACCTGGATTGATTCTTTCTTCTGAGCATTGTAACAAATATTCAAAGGTATGAGAGTAAAAATTAAAAGGTACTGCTACTATCAGCACCATAATGTTTACGTATTAATGATGCAAATTGTTTTTTGCTATTTTTAATGACCATTTAACTCATTAGGTAGATCAAATTACATTGGTTGCACTTAAAAACAGTATTTTCTTGTAGTTTAGCTGTAACATAGTTATGTTTTTGAGCTGCTCTCACTCTAAAATTTACAGAAAACAAGAGGTCATGGACATATATAGATAGATATAGGTATAGATATAGATACATAGATACAGATTTAGATTCAGTGGTATAAACACCTGCCTGGCAAACACAAGGTCCCGAGCTCAATCTTCAGTACTATAAAAAGAAAAAAAATAAAGCCTGAAAACAAAATTTACACTCGGGGCCGGGAAGATGGCTCAGTGGAATAAGCGCTTCCCTGGCAAGTGCAAGGGTCTGAGTTCAATCCCTGGTTCTGCCAATAAATAAATAAATAAAATTTACAGAAAACATCTTATGTTTTTGTTATCACTTCAAAAATCAACTGGAGAATCTGGGAGTGGTGGAACATAGCTGTTATCCCAGAGGCTGAGGCAGGAGGATCACAGGAAGAAAGGAAGGAAGGAAATAGAGAAATGAAGCAACTTAATGTGAAGGCTTAGTAAGTTAACCCCAACCTTATTTCAGATTTCCTTCAAATGACAGGACTAAGGATACCTGTGGTTTATACTGCAAGCATATAGTACCATTCTCTCTATTCTTACTCTGAAGTTTGCATTAGCAGCTAGTCAATTAGTTTGTTATGCATTCATTTACTTCTTTATATTTATTGTGCTGGGAGTCAAGCCCAGGATTCCACTCAAGCTAGTGCTCTACCACTGAGTACATCACCATCCTCCATGTGTAGCTTTTATATGCTATCACCATTATTAAAGTACAGTTTAAGTTTAGGAACTTTGCTTTCTCTCTTCGTATTTCATGCTTGTGACTGTGTGTGTACTTCTCACTTTCAGTACATCTTGAATAGTAAAGATGTAACTCAGTCATAACTATCTGGACAAGGGTCTTGGGCTGGTGCAGGCTGGGCTTCCTGCTAAGTAGTGAAGCACTTGCTTAGCATGCACAAGCCCCTGGTGTCAGTTCCTGAATCATCTTTCTGTGGGCTCTGTGTCATGGTCAGAGACAAGATGAGCCCTTCATGCTACCTTTAATCACTGTATTAAATCTACTCCTTTAGAGACTATTGGTTTCTTAACTCAGCGTGTCTTCCTTTAGGAGATGTCAAAAGCATGCAACGCATTATTTTCTGTTCTTTTCTCTCTCCTTCACATGTACATCCTTTTAAAGAATTATAAAGATTTTAATATTCACAAAAATTATCCTGGGCGTGGTGGCACATACCTGTATTCCCAGCACTCGGGAAGCTGAGGCAGGAGAATTGTTGCAAGTTCAGGACCAGCCTGGGCTACAAAGTGAGCTCAAAGCCACCCTAAACTACATAGCAGGACCCTGTCTCAGAAAGACAAAAAAAAAAAAAAAAAATATCATATAAAAATCATCAATTAATGTTTTATTCTACCACACAGATTCCCCGCCACTGTATGTCTGAAGATAGCAAATATGTTTTAATACAAATGTTATGGGACAACATGAAATTACATCAGGATCCAGGGCAACCTCTGTACATCCTCTGGAACGCCCACAGTAAGTGCCATCGTAGAATACTAACTTCATTCATGCAAGAGTAATCTCTACTTGCTTTGTATAGCCTAAAATGAGAAAACTGACTTTTATTTTCCTGTACTACTTTTTGTCTTACAGGTCAAAATCGTACTCTTTTGTTTGAGAGTGAGTGTTAAGTTTTACTTTTTTAGTGCTGCCTTCTGTGGAGGTCAATATTTTTTGGAGGCTTTGTTTTGTTTTTGTCTTCGAGGGGTGCTGTGTACGTGCTGGAGGGTTATGTTTCGTACAGTTCAGCTTTCAGCACATTGCTTGTCCCAGTTTCTTCTTTTTACGTATTTTTTGTTTTCACCCATGGCTGCTAATGTAGAATTTTCTTCAGGGGCTGGTATTAAGGGAAAATATTTTGGGTTATTGTGTATTTGAGGCCACAAAAAGCTTCAGGCCTATTTTTGTCATTTTTTTTTACTTGTTCCTTTTTTGCTTTCTTCATTCTTAGATTTCTATTCCTTTATTCTTTATTTTCCTTAACTTATTTTAGTGCTTTGTAACTTTAACAGTTGTCAGTTACTATTTGATTTTTTTTCTTTGTACTTAGAACGTTTCCTTTATCTGCTCTTTTGTTCTTTTATAGCTCAAAGGTATCCAGTGGTACATTTATTGCAAAAAAGTGATAACTCATTTAACCCGGAACTATTGAAAAGTATGGTAAAAAGCATTAAAATGAATGATGTCTATGGCCCAATGAGTCAGATTTTAGAGACACTGAGTAAGTGTCCACATTTTAAAAGACAGAGGTAGGTTATTCTCTTAAATGAACATATTGTTTCTCTAAGCAGGAGCATCTTGTTTGCTTAGTTGTTTGTAGACAATTTCATGCTTGTTATAAAAATTTTCTGTGAAGCATGTATAAACTATATCAATACTTACACTTTCTCCGTACCTTTTTTCCTCAGGAGTTTATACAGAGAAATCCTGTTTCTCTCACTTGTGGCACTGGGAAGAGAAAATATTGATATAGGTAATTCAGCATAATAAATAACATGTAATACTTTTATAGCATACTATAGTTTTTAAAGTGTTGTATATCAGTAGCTTTTATTATATTAGTATTAAATTACATTAGTTTATTAGAAAAATTGTTTTTAAAAATCTAATGTAAAAGATACTTTGATGCTTTGATCATGGTAGTAGTAATAATGATAAATAATAAAAGTTAAAAAATTTTAGTACCTCATAGTAAGCCTTTTATATGTATCATTAGATATAGTTCTCCCCAAATCCTATGAGTATAGGTACTAGTATTATATTATAGAGGACTGAGGGTCCAAAAGATTAAGGAGCTTAATGTCTGGCTTTATAGTAAATAATAGAGCCATTTTCTTGTACTACAGATGGTTTTTATTTTGCTGATATTTACATTATACAACTCTAATCATTAAATTCTTCCTCATCGCTGAACTATGTGTTCTTCTTTATCCTTGGGGGATGTGAATTCCCTGAGATGGAAGAGGCCCTACCCTGGGTTTCCCTTTGTTTAGTTCTTCAGTCTTTTTTGGCTTGCTGGGTTGTGATGACTTGGCTGAGGCTGTGAAGAGCAGGGTCTTCCCCCTTCACTTCCTGCTGTGTCCTCAGTTTCTTCTGATTCAGAGATTTTGTTTCTTTTTTCTTCTTTGAGGCTCATGTCCTCCAAGCCTATTTTTTTGGACAAGTGTAACTTAAGTGTTCACTTTCCCCACATTCATAACACTTAGATGTATCAAAGTAGTTTCGCCTTTGAGTTAATTCAGCTGGTTTTCCATTGTCAATAGCAATGGTTGCATTTATCACTTTACCAAATAATTGTTTGTTGTTTATGGTTCTGGTGCAAGTTTTGTGCAGTCATTATCCAAAAATAATATAAATGTAACCCCTTTACTCGTCCTTATGTCTTTGTCTCTCATTATAGCAACCCCCGTATAAGTCATTTGTCAAGGAGAAGGGCAAGTTGGACATGTCCACTGTGCTCTTACTTGGAGTCAAGCCTCCACTCATTTCCTTAGGCAGGGCAGACGCAGCATAGCTGGGGCCCAAACCAAACTCTTCCTCCCTACTCACACTGGCAGCAGCAGCTGAGCAATATAGAGCCATAGTTTCACCAAGCATTCTTAATTCTCAATCCCATGCTTTAAACGATGGTTTTATCGCCGATAGCGCTGAGCTAGCTCAGAAAGAATATAAGGCAACTAAATTATAGTCCCCAGAGCTTTTTGATTGGTCAGCTCCTTCTGACAGTTATTGTACTTAGCCTCCCTGTGGTTGTTGTTGTTGTTATTATTGTTGTTGTTGTTGTTACTGTTTTGAGACAGAAGTATGCTCTGTTTCCCAGACTGATCTTGACCTCCGGAGCTTAAGTGGTCCTCAGCCTCCCATAAAGCTGGGATGACAGGTGTGCACTGCTGCACCAAGCAGGCTTGACCTCTTAAATTTCTACTTCCAAGTTCTAAGAAAAAATAAAATAACCTCTGATAAAAAAAAGAAATGGCTCTCAGACATTGAGATACACAAGTAGGGCTTTGGCATTCTGTGTGGAAATTTATAATTTTGTGAAGAGGTTGAGAAAAAGATATCTGACGAGTGATCAGCCCATTCACTAGCATATGTGGTGGGCTGCTCTGTGTTAGGTGACTGCACACTGATTTTAACAAAAACAAGCCTAATCTTACATCGACGCTTCGTTCATCATAAAGTATGCTTTGTGTTTGCTAGCAGCAGCAGAGCTGTGAATTATAGGCATAAGCACTGGTGTAAGTTCCTCTGTGAGACTGCGTGGGATTGGGTGGAAAGCAGAGCGTCTCCCCTGGGGCTCTTTCCCAGCAGCTCACTGAGGGGCAGTGTGAGAGAGCTAAGTGAATGGAGTAGAAGGCTGGGCGCAGTCCTTCCTAGCTGGGTGTCCTACAGGTTTGTCAGGTGTCATCTAGCTCCAAGTGACTCATGCCACTGAAAATGATCAACCTTCCTACCAAGGGAGAGAGTGTGGAATTGATGTATGAGAAAAATGGTAAGCATCTCAGCATCTCAGAATGAAATTATTAGAGGAGGATGGTACTTTAAACATTTTATAGACAAAAGGACTAGGAAGAATATGAATTTTCTCATATGTAAGATAGTAGTGGAAAATTGGCTTATACTAAAATGGCTTTACTAGGGCAAAAAAAGGATTCCTCCCTCATTGTTGGTGGGAATGCAAACTAGTACAACCATCATGGAAGGGCCAGGGAGATGGTTCAGTGGAATAAGCGCTTCCCTGGCAAACACAAGGGCCTGAGTTCAATCCCTGGTTCCACCAAAAAAAAAAAAAAAAAAAAAAAAAAAACATGGAAATCAGTATGGGAAGGGAGAATAATAAAGATATGCCATGTACAGGAACCTAACAGCCCCAACTCATGTAAACATTATATATCATAACAAGAGCTAAGACAGATGATATCAACAAGATTGAAAAATGGAGCGAGGCATAGTAGCCTATGATCCCAGCACTCAGGAGGCTAAAGCAGGAGGACTGTTACAAGTTGAAGGCCAGCCAGGGCTACAAAGTGAGAGCCTGTCTTGAGCAAGAGAAGGGTAAGATGGCGAACTAGAAGAGAAAGGAATAGGGCGAATGAGAAGATTTTTAGAAAAAGAAAGATGCTGTAATATATTATGTACATGTAACCATTCCTCCAAGACAGTTGTAAACTATGTGAACTGTAAACACATCGAGATAAAATAAAAAGTAAATAAATAAATGGCCTTAAATGATTTAAATATAAATCCAAGCTACACACAAAAATAATGTATTTTTTTTTTTTTTTTTTTTTTTTTTTTAAGTTTGACCCAGAAATATAAGCAGGGAACACTGCACTTTGAAATCACATTAAATTGCTGATCATTTAGTTGAAATGAAGTTGGGAAAATTTGCAGAAGTTCCAATAGAAATGTAAAAATTATTTAGAAATAAGGAATAGTTAATGGAGAAGGCTAAATATAGCCATGTTTAATCTGTAATTTTGTATGATTTTTTTGAGTTGCTCTTTCCATCAAAAAAGGGAAAAGAGTAGAGATTAAAATTTCAACCAAGAAATTTTGAGCAGAATGTTGTGAATATTTGCTTTTTACCTTAATGGTTATGAAAACTGGAGAATATTAAAAAATAGGAAACTTGCCAGGTGTGATGATACACATCTATAATCCTAGCACTTGGGAGGCTGAGGCAAGAGGATTAGCACAAATTGAGACCAGTCTGTTCTGCACAGGGAGTTCAAGGCCAGCCTGAACTACACAGCAAGACCTTGTCTCAAAAAAGAAAGAGACTTGACAAATGTTTCCAGCGTTCAACTGAAAAAATAATCTGGGAGGGATCAGCAGAAATCAAAACTATGTAGTAAAACAGTAAGGGACCTGAAACAAGAAATTGAGACCCTCAGTTACCAACTGCTCTGAATGTAAAATGACAGCAGTCAGTGGAAACAGTTCTGTATCTCTTCAAAATGTAAATAAACAGAGCTACCTACCCTATGACCCAGCAGTTGCACTCACATGTAACTAGAAGTAAAAGCACATGTTCTCACTGAAACGTTACATCAGTGTTCATAGCAGTATTATTCATATCAGCCAAAAAGTAGAATATATGTAAATATATATCACCTGATTAATGAGTAAACAAAAGTGGCACATGTATACAATGGAATAATACTGAGTTACACAGAAGTGAGGCACTGATACAGTCTACAACATGGGTTAACCTCGAGAGTGTTCTTAGTGGAAGAAGCTAAGCATAAAGGCTTTGGAGTGTATGATTGCATTTATATGAAATGTCCAGAGTAGGCAAATTATGCTGATAGAAAGGAGATTAGTGGCTGGAGAAATAGCTCAGCAGCGTAATTGCCTGCCTGCAACCTCAAGGCCCCGAGTTCACTCATCGTGCCGGCCCTGGAACCAGGCATGATGGCGCATGTCTAGAATCCAGCACTAATGGAGGCTTAGACAAGAGGATCGTTATCAGTCTGAACTGCATAGCAAGACCCCATATTGATAAAAACAAATGAATAAATTAAATTAAAAAGGAAATTAGTGATTGATAAAAGCTAGGAAGAGGGATGAATGAGAAGTGATTTTTGTTACCAGATTTCTTTTTGGTGAGATGAATTGTTCTAGAGTTAGATCATGTTAGATTGTGGTAATGGTTGTACAATTCTATGAATATATACTGAATTTTGCATTAAACATGAATAAATTAAATGTACATTACACGTAAGAAAAAAAAGACTGGTCACTAAACACTACTTCAAGATTCATTGGCAGGATTTGCCCTTGGAGAAGCCACTGTAATTACAGCAGAGCAAGGGAGCACTGGCAGAGCTAGAAAAATCCATAGGGCCAGATAGAGTCTAGCAATCGACTTCTACAGGAACAGAACATGATAGAGCCAGTTAGGAAGAGCAGACTGTCGACTAGTGTTGGAACAGTCACCTAGCCACTTGGGGAAGGTACTGGAAATTGCCAAAATCAGGAATGTTATTCTCTGAGCGAGGCTTTTTAAATATAATGAAACAGAAGAGATACCAAGGAAGAGTACTCAGACTGTTTTCCCCATTCCTTTGTTCTCTATCCAGTACACACACCAAGCACACCCAGACATTAAGCAAAGGAGGTTTCACGTGACACCTCTAAATTGGGAGCATTCTGGACCTCTGAATTGGAGAAGCTGCTTCACTCATGTACTTGTTGCCAAATCAGCCTTCAAGAGCACCACTGGTTCAGTGGGGGAGAAACATGTCTGTCATCTCCCCAAAGCCTAGGGACATTCAGACAGAATTCATACCTTGCTTTGATCCCTAAGGTTCAAAATTTTCTCTAGTATGTGTTTAAAAATAACTGGTCAGGGGCTGGGAAGACAGGCACAGTGGCACACAGCTGTATTCCCAGTGCTGGGGAGGCTGTGACAGGAGGGTCACCACAAGTCTGAGCTACATGAGGAGACCTTGTACAAAATAAATGAATTAATTAATTAATGTGGTTTTTTTAAGTTAAGTGGTCAGTTAGGATTTCTACATAGAAACTTTTTTCTTTCCTTTTTTTGTTTTTATTTTTATTTTATTTTTATTTATTTTTTGTACCAGGAATCAAACTCAGGACCTTGCACTTGCCAGGCAGGGACTTATGCTGCTGAGCTATCTCCCCAGCCCTTTTTTTTTTTCTTTTCAAAGTTTTATTGATAAACATATAGCAATGAGACAGTTTCAAATCAAATCGAAAGTACAGTTTCAACAAATAATACACTGCATACATTCTTCTCAGTGGTTAATTGCTGTACAAGATGCAGACTTGTGATCCTACTTACAAACACCATTAGCAAAAATCATTCTATTCATTAAGAGAATGCAACTATATATCTATCCCAACCACTTTGAATACACAGATACAAAATGGACATTCATAGTTATACCCCAATTTTTTTTAAGTTCCGTTGTTGAATATTATAGGTGTGTAAACTCAGCAAAATATTCTAAAAGAGTACAGAAGCCCATAATATCATTGGGTTTTCTGTTTAACTGGCAATGTCAGAAATTATTGACCTGAGTCCCCCACAGCTCAACATAACAACATGGCTTTACTTCCTATATTTCATCTTCATACTTTTCTACTGGATGGTTAAGACCAAGGTAAAGCAGGACCTGTGCAACAAGAGTTGTAGCTTTTTGGTCTGACAAGGTCAGTGAAATGCCCTCAGGATTTATCTTGAGATCCTGTACCTCAGATTGTAGAACCTTTGTCAGTGTCAGCCATGTGGATGAGTCACGGCCAATGCTTGGCCTATGTGCTCTCTGTGAAAGCCTGAGAGAGTGTCTTCTCCCCATGTGACTCTCCTTAGGCACACTCTACATCATCGATCACTTTCCTCTTTGGCCCCATTATCTTCTTGATCAGAAAATTTGGGACACTACCGAGGTACATGACGTAACAGTACAAGTTCTCATATGTCCTGAGTCTTAATTGACCTTAGAAGGGTAGGGCCAAAATGTTGGCTTTCCTTGTAGCCCTCCTTTTTCTCTAATTTTGGTCTGCAAACTTAGGTTGTTAACCATCCAGAAGACAAGCTTATTGTTATTATCAAACGATTTACGCTATCAAGCTTAACCTCACTATCTCACTGCATTTCAAACATCTTAGGCATAATAAGGAACAGGTATTTTTCATCAAGTATTGATATGTTGAACCTTAAGTCCCTACATAATATGATAAAGAACATTTAAAAATTAGATTATATTTTAACAATAGGATAAAGAATTCTATGCTTCTCATGTTTGCACATAAGTCCAAAAATCTCACCATATACAACCTTGAAGCAGGACTGTCCCACAGTATTCCTTTTCCTGTCTCTTGCTTTCATTCACCACCCCAGCCCTTTTTTTTTTTAACATAGAAACTTTTAATGAAAATTTAAAACCTGTGATCTTCCTTTTTTGTCACATGTAAATTATCTTCTGGGAAGGATGCATATCTTGGTGTAATATCCTTAATAAGATAAGTCAAAGCTTATTACCCTCATCTATTTCCACCTGTTTCAGTGGGGGAGAATCTTATGTCTGTCATCTCCCCAAAGCCTAGGGACATTCAGACAGAATTCATACCTTGCATTGATTCCCGAAGGTTCAAAATTTTCTCTAGTAAAAGGAAGTACCACTTATTTGATGATGTCAAAAGATAATTTTGATATTTTTCCAAGGTTATCCCATAACAGGAAGTGTTAGACACATAAATACCATCCAGTTGAAGCAAAAACTTTAAATGTGAAATAATAAACCATAAAAGTAAAGAAAATACAGGTAAATTTGAGTATGAAAAGCAAGGTGCAAAAATATGCATAGTGTTTGGTGGTTTCAAACATGTATTCTTGGTAAGATTAAAATTGGCTTGTGTAATCTACCATAAAATGCTGTGGTGTCTAAGGTTGCCCTTCTAGCCTTGAAATTTGTGGTCCTTCGGCAGAAATATCCTACACATTCCTCCTTGGCTCCTAATTTTGTGGTTCTGTAGTATTTAGAAACTCATTTATTGGAGCCGGGGAGATAGCTCAGTAGAATAAATGCTTGCATGGCAAGCGCAGGGTCCTGAGTTCAATCCCCAGTTCCACCAAAAAAAAAAAAAAAAAACCTCATTTATTGTCAGCATCAAACTTCAGTTTCTTTATGCCTCTGTTTCTTTATGCAATTTTGCAGATGCATTTGACAAGGAATACAAGATGGCGTACGATCGTCTCACACCTACTCAAGTCAAGAGTACACACAACTGTGACAGGCCACCGAGCACAGGGGTGATGGAATGTCGAAAAACCTTTGGAGAACCTTATCTTTGAGATGTGTATGTGTATACATTCAATATATATTGTATAGTCACTGTACAAAATAACACTTTTAGATGCTAAACATTTTTCTTCAATTTTTGAAAACGCATTTGTAAATGGTTTGGGAGGTTCAGATAGCTTCTGTACAGAATGTTCTCAGAAGAGAATAGTGACACATAGGGAAAGAGCCACTTTTATCCTATTTCTTTTTTTTTTTTTTCCTTTGACTCCCCTCTACTAAGTAATTAAGTATTTTTGTGATGAGGAAATCCTAAGCAAAATTGTTTGCCATAAAATAAGACAACTGTTTTACGGCTTCTCCTGGAAGAAGCGTAAAAACCATACATGGAAACAAAACAGCAGTGTAAGATCAGAGTATCTCCTGTTTTCATAGACTATTCAGATGTTTTGACCATGAAATTGTATTATACATATTTTAAATTGTTTATAGTAAGTTGATATTTTTTTAATTTTTAAATTTAATATAGCAAACTTAAAATGAATTTAAAGTTATGACACAAGCATTTTATTTCCTTGTCTCCTGCTATTTGAAGTAAATAGTACAGCTGCAGGTCTCTATAGATCTCTATATGTACATCTATATATATATATATATATATATTTTTTTTTATTACTTGGGAGAATGAATTTGAAAAGTGTCAGTGCTAGTGTTGCCATCACCCTAGGATCGCGCATTAGTGCCCCTCAGCCTGGTGGCACCAAGTGAGTTGTGGCAAGAGTGGCATATGTTGCCCCGCCACAGACTCACTGAGCCTCGTGGCAGAATGGCCGAGAGGTCCACTGTACCACAGTTCCAAATTCTCCTTTGTGGCTAATAGATACCTACAGTACACAGGGAAAATAGCTCACAATCCAATAGAAATTTAAATTTTAATACTCTCCTTTGAGAGTACATTGGAAATATGACAGTTGACTCTATTCCAGATTTCACCCTTATTTTGCTATCAAAAATGCTGAGTATGATACAAATTGTACTATAAAATATTTATCTAAAGTATTCTGGGGTATTCTGTTAATAGTATATATATATATATATATAAAATATAAATAATCGAAGTATTTTTTTGAAAGTAGTAAAATCGTAACCCTCTAAAAGTACAGCCAGATAGAATTTCCCATATTGAGGAACTTGGTTTCTTCAACAAGCTTCAGAATCTGAAGTTTGTGGAATCTCAAAGAAATATCCAGAAATCAGAAAATAAATTGAATGTTTAAGCACCATGAGTATTAAATTGATTTTGAAAATCTTTTTCAGTCACATCATTTCTATTATCAGCTTCTTTGGGTAATTTGTGATAAAGAAAAATATATCCCTAGCCATTAGAATTATTTATTATAGATACTGAGTACAAATGTGCACTTGTGTAGACTGTCACTTACCAGGAGGTCTGTGGCCACTTTAAAAGAAGAAAAAAGTGATGGTCCCAAATTGGATATGTAAAGTCGGCTAATTCCATGACACTGGCCCTGGAAATGTCTTGGAGCCCTGAGACGTAGAATTGGTTCATCTGCAGAAAAACTGCCTTTTCAGTTCGTGCCATTATTTGGAGTTATGCCAAACTGACACATGTCATAGGTTTTCTACTCTGACAAATAATGGAAAGAGTTTAAAAATGTAAAACTTCAGTTCAATTAGTTTGGGGCTGAACTCGCTTCCTTGAAAAATCTGGTGCTACGCACATGCATCTGTCTTCTCTCCTGTGTGAATAGCACTCCGCAGCCGAGGCTGCTTTCCTGCCCTCAGGTCCGGCCTTCACATTTAACTGACTCTTGTGTTCTCTGAGTCATTTGAAAGTTATCAACTTAGAGCAGCCGTTAATAGAGGAGGCTTTTGGTGCTGGTGGTGAGCATCCATCCAAAGAGGATTCTGGGGTTCTCTTCTGGTTTTTGTTGTTTGTTTTTGTCCTTTATAAGAATAGCTGGCGGGGGCCTGGCCATAGCTCAGTTCTTTAAGTGGCTGCTTCCACAAAGCTGTGAGCCTCAGGTTGCTGTAGTTCAACTCCC